TATTTTTAAATGTTTCACATACATCTTAAAATATAATTACTAATATCATGATTGATATTTGGCCAATATAATATACTTTTTGCTCTATGTTATGTTTTTATGATACCATAGTAATTTTGCCACGCATTTTCCTTAGCCCAATCCTGCGCTCCACTAAAATTAGTCGAGTAGAAGCATCCAAGTACTCCTGTCTGCAGTAGTTTTATCTCTTCAGATACCCATCTAAGCATTGTTTAATTACGATACCAAATAGAACTCAAGTTTCACCTAATTCTCACATTTTTTTCCATCTTTTCATCAAGAATAATTAAAATTATGAACAATAAGCTGGAAATTTAGTGCCAAAACTTACAGTTACCTGTAATTATGGGAGAGGAAAAAATAAGTCGTTTTCAAGCATTTGTAAAATAATTACTCGCCTATCTCTACTGGTTGATCAGAATGCTATTCACACTTAATATTATTTAATAATATAATTTTGCATTAACCGTATTTTCGTTTGTTATTTCTTAGATTTAATTTGTGATTACGTTTTTATTTACATACAGTGCGCGAATTACGTTTTGAATTGGGTCAAAAAAAAGTTGCTAGTCACTATTTAATTTACAATTAATTAATTTATCGCCAAAGGTTTTATCAGAGGCGTCCTTCAGACTTTTAAAAAACGTTGAAGAGGTTTAGGATATTTCCTAAGCTGTATCTGTTTCTAATTTCTTTTTTATATACGTTCCCCAACTTATTGGAGACCTGGATGGTTATATCAAAGTTTTCATCTACCATATAGCTCAAAATTTGCTAATGTAATAAGGTTGAGGAAAAATAGAAACAAATATTGAAAAAGTGTTAAAAAATGGTAATAGGCTAGAAAAATTTTATAGAAATAATAGATGTAGAAAAAACTCGTATCCACTAGGGAATAAACAACATTACAATATTATATACTATTGTTGTTAAGAACATTGATACTTGTCAGTGTTCAAATACACTCATCGACTTAAAATTCGATCCATTTAAAATAATAATAATTTATTTAAAAATGCTCTAACTTTCAAATGCGGAGGCTGATTTATTTAAAGTTTTTAGCAGCTTTTAGATAAAATACTGTAGTTATAAAATTATTATTCGGACATCTAAAAGTAATTTAGTACTCGCCGCATATACAGGGGAGAAGAGAAAACTATTTTTCCTTTACTTTTGACACACCCTGTAGGTTAATTCTGCTAGTAGATCTGCACACAATTAACTTTATCAAGAAGACTGATTTGTTTCCAACACTTTGTTTTTTTATTTACCCCGATATATTAATTTGTTTGTGAAATGTGACGGTTTAAAGAAAATGCAACATTCTTAATTTTTTTATTCAGTTTTAGTAGAGTAATACATAATTTTATAAACAAATCGAACAACAAATAAACTAATAATTATTACAAATTAATAACGGGTATTACCCCCACGAGCGGGAATAACTACCTCAATGCGTCGTGGCATACCCTCTATTAGATGTCGAATCTCCATCTGGTCAATCTGATCCCATTCTTGGACCAAAGCATCTCTCAAAAAATTTAAATTACTTGGAGAAAGAATTCGGTTATGAACTCGTCTGCCCATCATGTCCCAGATGTGCTCAAATGGATTGAGGTCTGGGCTACGTGATGGCCAGTTCATCCTTTGAATTTCTGTTTCGTCCAAACTCCATAACTGAACTTGTGGAAAAATTTGCTTGGTCAAACCTTTCGCCTCTTCTTCTGTATATGCGGCGAGTACTAAATTACTTTTAGATGTGCGAATAATAATCTTAAAACTACAGTATTTTATCTAAAAGTTGCTAAAAACTTCAAATAAATCAGCCTCCGCATTTGAAAGTTAGAGCATTTTTAAATAAATCATTATTTTGAATGGATCGAATTTTAAGTCGGTGAGTGTAATTTAAAAGATAAAACGTCACAAGATAAAAAACATTTCTTTTTAAAAAATATTAGGGTTTTGTTGGGCCCAAATTACACAAATGAACTTAATAAATTTGATACATGTTTTTATAGAGAGACAAGATTAGGGTTGCCAACTTTGTTTTTTAATTTTTCTGGACAAGGGTAATAAAAATTCAGGACATACTTTATAAAATTTGGACATTTTTATTCTTGCCAAAAACAACAAACTTAAATAAACAATTCGACAAAAAAAACGAAGTGGTAAACAGGAACTAATGATTAAACATTTTATTAAAAAAGAACATAAAAAAAAATATAAAAAGTTATAGCTACTTAATTAACAGTGTCACTGCTTTTAAAATCATATTTTTTTTTCACTTTTTGCAGCTATTATTAATTTCTTATTACCTTTCACAAAATTATAAAATTCTTTTGAAAATATAAGAATAATTTTTTTTTTTTGAACTTCTACACTTTGAAAAAATCCTTTTAGCGTCAGCATTGGACCCAAATACAGAAAATACAAATTGCAAAATATGCGACGATGCTAATGTGACTATAAAACATAAGAAATTGGAGATATTATTCGAAACACTGAAATTAAGTATAATAATAAGCGTCCTGCAATAGGTTGTTGCAGGACACTGGAAAATGTACCCCAAATGGTGGACGTCCTCCGAACTGCAGGACGGTTGGCAACCCTAGACAAGATGGATTCTAAACCTAAAAAAACAGACTATTTGAATGATTTGAATTTAAAAATCAACTGATTCTATAACAAGTAGAGAGTGGTCAAAATTGTAGTTTAACAAAGATATTTTTTAATTAATGAACAACTAACGGACATAACCACTAGATGACCATTCCGTACTATTTAAATTGCTGAAGAAATTAATATAAAAATGAAATAACCCAAATAATTGTGGATTATGTGAAATTTAAAGTTAAAAGTTTATTTTGAACAAATTACTAATCTACGGAAAAAAATTAATTTTAGCAAAAACGGAAAAAAGGGGATATGAGAAATTTGATATTTGACAATGTTATAAAAAAAAAATGAAAATTAAACTACAATGGGAACAGAATTAAGGGGACTGGCAGATGAAAGAATGAGCCGAAAGGGTTTTTTTTTTTTTTTTTTTTTTTTTTTTTTTTTTTTTTTGGCTTGGGCACTTGCCATTCAGCCAGTCGCGGAATAAATTATATAAGTTTAAATTGCATTATCACTCTAAATACATCCATTTAATCATACACACTTACACACTTTTGTCCTAAGCAAGAAAAGAAGAAAAATATATAACAGAAGATAAGGCAAGCAAGGAATAAACAAAGGAAAACATTTCTTCTTGTCTAGGGGCCCGAGCCGAAAGGGTAATTAGTAAAAGTTGAAAGATGAGATAAAAATAATGAAGAACTAATTTATTGTATATTATAAGGGTTGAACAAATGATTGTTGTAATAATTACAGCAATGTGGAGAAAATCGAAGAAGATACAAATTGGATATGTGCATTCAAACAATCTCCAGTGGAGGCTTTAAGATTTCTCATTATTTCTAGGTTGTCAAAGCTATTAAGAATTGATGAACCTTTTTAGCTTGTCTAGTTTTAAGGTTCTCGTTCATCAATTGCTATTTGTACAATAGGTTTTAACCCTTAACAGACTCCGCCTGACCCTTCATCGCTTCCTCCACTTGTAATTTTAATCAGACTCTCATGCAGCATTCAGTATTTTTCTGTTTAATGATTATCTGCCTGGAAACCTAAGCAAAGCATTTATTGGTGATTTTACATCTTCTTACGTAGACTTCTGGAATCGGATGAGTCTGTGACTCAACATCAGTAGAAGTAAAAAACCAGCATCAGTGTTTTGCATGAAAATTTTGAAAAAATTATTAGTGATAAGTATTATCAAATAGATAGTGATTTTGGTGAAGATGAAGCATATTTTAATAACTATATTGTCATTGAATACGATATAGATTTTGGAGAATTTGATAGTAGAAATGAAGATTTAAACTATTGATTAATCAATATATTATAAGATGTTATTGATCTAATCTCTTAAGGAATAAAAAGAAGAATAACGAGGGAATTACGAACATTCATCAGTCGAACAGTGGCGGCTCGTCGGTAAAAATTGGGGGTTCACAATGAGAGAATATAGGTCTCAGTACAGATTTTGGTAAAAAGCTTTCAGTGTTTTGGGAAGGTGTAATATAAAAACTGAAAGTTTTTTATCTTATATTCTGTCATTGTGAACCCTCAATTTTTTGCTCATGAGCTGCCACTGCAGTCGAATATTAAGCGTGGAAGTGTTCCTCGAAAAAAGGGAATAAGATCCTAATGTACGATTTTTAATTTAAAACAATATAATTTTTTTACGTTTGGAATAGTCATTTGTAGTGTTATCTTTATGGTTTTTTAAGTAATAGGTGGGAATTTTCATTTTTTTACCAAACAAACAACCTTTTTTATTTTCTAGTAATCTTTGTTTGAAAATTTCAACATATATTTTATATTATTTTTATACCGGTTCCATTTTGATTTTTGTTAAAATAAAAGTGTAAACGTTTAGTCCTAAATAAATAGATATTTGTTATTTTTGCCTGTTTTGTATTTATTTTATTGCATTGTTTTTGTTAAACCCATTAAATTGACGGAGTCTGGTAGACTTCATCTCAGTAGTTACGGACAAAACGTTCACCTCAATGGCTACAGGTTAAATTGCAACTATCATAGTATATTGATTATACCTACCTACTCCAATTATACCTAAGTAAAATTATATAATTTAATTTAAAAGTAACTTAAAACCCTCAGGGGGAGCAGCAAAATGCCTGAAAGCTTGAAAAACAACAACAATCAGTGAAATAATCGGCTAATATTAGTCTAAGTTATTCAGTAATGGAAATCTGTTGGGGTACCTCAAGGATCGGTTTTAGGGCCGGTACTGTATGTGTACACATCTCAGTGAACTTCCACTGATTTTAAAGAATGTTTTGTGTGGATGACGCAATAAAATCGGTTTTCGCAAACACTTATAAATTATTAATATATATTTTTTATTTCAGGGCATTTTTCCTTCAAATTTTCTTCCATTTTCTCAATTATCAAAGACTGATTCTTCTAGCCCCCCACCACTAGAGCACAATCCCCTAAATGGTAAGTTATTTTTTGACGTTTAAATAAATCAACAATTGACAAAAACTGTATAACATACTATTTGCTTCTTCTATACCTCAGATCCTTCAGTTTGCAAACTGATGATAATGGATTTTGTATAAAACAAAAAAGTTTAAGACTGTTTTTCCTTTCAGTTATTAATTAATTAATTGACTCAGGGTGTGATAAATTATAAGGTAAAAATAACTGCATTTGCAGAAATTGTTTTCTGTTTGGCAACTATGCTTACATTTCATTTGTTATAATGGATTGCATAAAAAAAGAATACATTTTAAATCCAGGATAATGCATTTTATCCATGGATATTTATTATCCCTAGATTTTGTTTTTGTTATCTTAGATAATGTCATGATAATTGTTAAAATTAGTTTTAATAATAAAGTATTAATTCATCTATTCCTAAAAAAATTTATATATTACGCGCCACTGAACCCCTACACATTCATAGACATTGACAGATGACGTCAGTTTGCAAACTTTCGAACTGAGGCGTAAAAAATGCTAATTTGAAGTTAAATCTTCGTCTCGATTGTAGATGACTTAGTTATTTATATTTAAATTGGCATTTTAAGATTTTTAAAACTTTTGGAAAAGTATTAAAGTGCTCCTATATACTATTGGATTTCGGAACGAAAACATACAAATAAAAAACAAATGGCCTTCCTGAACATACGACATATTGGCTTATTCGCACTATTTGTGATTTAATTACGTATTTAAACTATTTTTAATAGTTTTGCGCTAAAATAGCATTTTTTTAAACGAAATTGCGCATTTTAACACATTGGGTCGGCGCATTGACTAAAATTTATGCACCATTTTTACGAACGAAACCGACACCTTCTATACAATACTAAAGCAATGAATTCAAGAGCACCGGTCTGTTCAAAATCGCAATAATCAATGACCTTCTGCTTCGTTAGCATCGGACACCAAACGATTCCTTGGGTGCACGGCAAAAGAAAATTATTTATTTCTCATATTTACAGTATTATTGTCTAGTCACCGCAACGCTTTACGACCCCGTTCGGCTGAATTCCTTCGCAGAAAAAGGCCGCAACAAAGAACTTGATGAATACTTAGGGCATATTGTCTGAAAAAATCAGTTCGCGTTAATTTTTTTATTGAAATGTAAGTTATGGATCTCAAGAAGGCGTTTGACTGCGTTAAACAAGGATTTCTAATGCGAAATACAGCTATGCATAATCTAATAAACCTCGATCTTTGACAAAATTGGTACCTATGGTGTAACGTTTATTTATTTATTTATTTACACTAAAAATACACTAATTTATTTTGACAATGTATCTTTATATATCGATATCTTGCTATAAACTAATTCAAATTGCAAAAATTTCTTGAAATTTCAACAAGGCACCTCCACCATTTCTTAACTGATCAATGCAGTGCATTCGCTATTTTCTACATTCTACTCGAATCTTCAAATTCTTCGCCGTGGTGTTTTTATCGGACATTCTTGGTATAAGAAGCCTTGGTAAGAAGCCTAATAAGGCATGACATCCTTAAAAGATCTTTTCTCCTGGAAAACGTGCCTGGTATATTTATACGACATCCTAGTTTTAGGAAAGACATTTGATGAACATCTGAAGAACTTAGATTTTTGTAAAAGACTTCAAGCTGCCCAACTGATGCTAAATCCAAAATAAAGTCATATAGTCAGCAATGATGGCGTGGCTGTAAATGAAGAAAAAGCCGCTTCCATCAAACGGTGGCCAGAATCAACTGATAAACACCAAATTAGAAGTTTTTTTGGGATCTGTACGTACCACCTACGATTCATACAGAAGTTTGCAGATATTGCTAAGCCAATAACGCGACTTACAGAAGAAACAAGACAGTTGTGCTGGAATGAAGACTGCCTTTGTTACTTTAAAGAAGCATTTAACCAATATTAGGCTAATCACTACCAGAGGAAGAATTCATTCTGGATACTGATGCCAGTAATGTGGAAACTGGAGAAGTACTTTCGTAAACTCAGAAAGGAAAAGAAAAAGTACTGGGTTATTATAGTAAAATATTGTCCAAACCTAAGCGAAATTACTGAATGACCAGAAGAGAACTCCTGGCAGTTGTGAAGTCCATGGAACACTTCTACCAATATCTATATGGAAGCAAAATTTTGATCCGGGCCGATCATGCAGCTCTTAAGTGGTGATGCAGTTCAAGAACCCGGAAGGTCAAGTAGCCAAATGAATTGTTATTGATCTTACATGACTAACCACAGAAATGCCGATTTTGCTTCTAGAAGACTGTGACCAGTAGAGTGATCTCACTGCAACAGAGGAACATCCAAAGAAAATGCATTACCAATGTTAAGAAAGAACAAGAGAACGATCTCCTTTTAAAGAAGATACGACAATAGAAAAAAGAAAATACTTGACCTACTTGGCAAGAAGTATCCAAACCCTCTTCAGTGATTAAGTCATATGTCTTATTAAAGCGAGTACTCGAAAACAGAAGACAGTTGGTCATTCCAATGACTAGAGTAGCCAAAGTACTTAGTCAGTTACATGACAGTCCACTATGGGGACATCTTAGTGTTAAGAAAACCCTTCAGAGAATTCGTGAAAGGTTTTAGTGTGTGCTTTATTAGTCTGTTTATTTTCTCCAAGTTCTTAACGTGGATGAATTATCTGAATGTGCTATTTTTGAACAACTTTCCAGGTTATATCAAAATAATGGAATAGTATTTCGTTTATAAAACTTCTAATTAGTATCCTAACCTATCTTATATCGCTCATCACTCCCCAATTTGACCTGCATTTGGAATTAACGAAGGCTGGTGTATCGCACTTGAATGACCACTCTTTCCAAATTTTTGAGGTCGACATTTAGTAGTGAAGCAAACTACCCCAAATACATTTTATTTGGGTAAATAAAAAAAAAGAAAAGAAGAAAAGAAAAATCATTCATTTTGAGAAAATTTCTTGCATGGAGGAGCTCTTGAATTGCTGGACTAGGAGTGAGATTATGCCCAAACGTTAAACATTAAATAAAATGGATGCCTGATGAGATTGATAGACATACCCCAATTGTACCAATGATGTATATAGTTATATGATCTATATATTTTTCAAAATACCTCACAGAAGCTCATACCTTGACGAAAAATTTTAATAATTTTTTACTATATTCAAACATTGAAACAAATCCAGAACGTTACTGATTTATATTTTATTTGTTTATCGGGGGTGGAGTACAGGGATTATCCCTCGTATAGTGATTATATCTAACACAGTTTTATTAAAAACGTTAAACCAACCTCTACGCACGCCTATTTTCCAAGAATTGGAAAGTCAAACGTCTTTAGCAAAATCGTAAAACGATTGAAAAAAATAATTTTTAATACTTCACGGTATAAAGTAATCGTCCAACGACAGTACGTATGGCCGGGTCGTAAAACAGCCATTATACATGGATCTGGGCATAAAGATACAATGTATTTCTATAGAAAATTATCTTTTATGGCATTGCTTATTTACTTCTATTTATTTAGTGGCATAAATTTCAATCAAAAAGGAACGAACGTTTAACTTCGATACAAGTCTCTGTTTATCAATATAATGGCTAATGCGCAAGTTTTTTTTAGAAAAACGACACCTATTCGAGTTAGTATGTGAGCAACAAGATTGTCTTTTTACGCTAGAAATTTTCCAAAATCCGAAAGAAAGTTAAATATAAAAATAGGATAAGAAAAGTCCTTTTACATTTATCCTTTGCGACATGTCTCGAAGTTTAACTTACTTCATCTACGCAGTCACTGTAGTTAATTTTATATAAACCCAATCGAAAACTGCAAAAAAAATAGAAAAATTCTCTTTCTGATTCATATAATTTGATCTGGCATCGCCACACAATCTGTATATTCTTTCTACAAACTTTTTATAAAATAGTGGAGACGAAACTTTAATTGTTTGTGGTGATTTTTCTGAAATTTTAAGCTCTTCAGCCTCTTGCAAGATCTTTTTACACCATAATCCAGATTGGCAACGAAATATGTCATGACATTAATTTATTTTCAACTGTTTGTTATAATTTATCGAATCTATACTTCTATCCAGGCAACACTTTATACATCTAATGTGACATTTACATTTAAGGCATTTTTTTATCCTTACTACTACTACTAATGACGTCACACATACAGTTGTAAGTTGTAACGTAACTTATTTAATGTCATATGTCAAATTTAATTTAAGTTGTGGGATTTCTAAACGAAATTTGAATTTTAAGAAATTTAGGATCTCTTCAAAAACATGAGCACTTTGCGATTGCTCGATATGTTTAAATGTGCTCCTTGTCACATAACCAACGTGGTTAGAGATAGTTACATGCTTTGGTAATATATGACGTCATGGAAGTAATCAAGCTGTATAAAGAAATGCTCTGACAACTGTACTATGTTCTAGTAAGCTTATAGACTTAAGCTGCGTTTGAATACCTAATTGTTAATATTAAAAAAAATAGCGCAGAAATAGCGCACTGAATTTCCATGCGAAAGGTTCGGGGTTCAAATCCAGGATTAAAATATTTTTTTTAAGTTTATAGGAACTGTGAGATTTATTAATTAAAAATATAATTCGTGTATCAATTTCACTGTCTGACCGTGTTAGAATTTTTCTGTAATAAACAAACGAATATTCTGGTCCGTCACGTGGTAGTAACCGTTCCAACGAGTCGACAACATAAAAACGTCTATTCAAATTAAGGAAAACACAATTTTAAATTGCTCTAAATTGATTTTGACAAGATTTAATTCGGTTATACAAGAACTGAAATATCTCGAACAATTTAACGGACTCTCGTTAAATTTAAGTAGTTTTAGTTTTACTGTGAATAATTTCATATAAACAGAACAGTAAAAGTATCATTGAAAATAGTACCTAAGACATTTTTTGTAGATTAAAACAAAAGAAATAGTATATTTTTTAAATATTTTAGTTTAAACCAAATAAAAT